TTTTTTTTTTTTTTTTTTTTTTTTGTGGTTCTGATTCCTAACACCAAGAGCTGTCTTGGCCTCCACTTCAGAGGAGTAAATGCGGCTCTGAAAGGTCCGGTAATTTGCTCACTCATAAAATCTCCTGGGTATACAGGGATGGTGGAATCAGGATTTGAACTCAGGACAGACTGACGTCATCCACATCGAGGTGCTCCATTCAGGTCCTGACTCAGGACCTCTCCTTACTGACCCATCAGAGCAGCATTTTGATCCTTTGGGAAAGCAGCTGGCTTCTTCAGCTGCTATTCCCCGCCTCCTCCCAGATTTATTGAAGTATAAGTGACAAATAAAAATTGTATAAACTTAAGGTGCACAACTTGGTATTTTGAAACAGGTATACATTGTGAAATAATCACCACAATCAGGCTAATTACCATATCTGTCGCCTCACACAGTTACCATTTGTGTGTCTGTGTGTGGTGACAACTCTTAAGATCTATCCTCTTAGCACATTTCAAGCGCACAACACAGTATTTGTTAACTATGGTCACCATGCTGCAGGTTAGATCTCTAGAACTTATTCATCTCGCAGACACTTTGTATCCCTTTGTCTGACATTTCCCCATTTCTCCCTCCCCCAACTCCAGGCAATCATTGTTCTCCTCTCTGCTTCTATGAGTTTGACTTTTAGATTATATAAGATTATATAATAAGATCATGCATTTTTCATCTTTCTGTGTCTGGCTTATTTCACTTAGCATAATATCCTCCAGGTTCATCCATGATGTCACAAATGTGGACTTTCCTTTTTTTAAGGCTGAATAATATTCCGTGGTATATGCACCACATTTTCCTTGTCCATTTCATTCATCCATCAATGGGCACTTAGGTTGCTTCCATGTCTTTACTACTGTGCATAATGCTGCAATGAAGATGGGAATGCAGATATCTTTGAGATCCTGATCTCATTTCTTTTGGAACACCCAGAAATCCTTTACTCCACATTGTCACCAACACTATTCCTTTGTCTTTTTAATAATAGGCATTCTAAGACATGTGAAGTGATACCTCATTGTGGTTTTGATTTGCATTTCTCTGATGATTAACAATGTTGAACGATATATCTGTTGGCCATTTGTGTATCTGAGAAATGTCTATACAGGTGCTTTGTCCATTTTTAAAATGAGTTATTGGATTTTTTTGCTATTGAGTTGTATGAGTTACTTATATATTTTGGATATTAATCCTTTATCAGATATATGGTTTGCAAATACATTCTCCCATTCCGCAGGTTGCCTTTTCACTCTGTTGATGGTTTCCTTCACTGTACAGAAGCTTATAGTTTGGTGTAGTCCCACTTAACCTATTTTGCTTTTGTTACCTGTGCTTTTGGTATCATATCCAAAAAACCATTGCCCAGACCAGTGTCAAGAAGCTTTTCCCTATTTTCTTCTAGTAGTTTTATGGTTTCAGGTTTTTGGTTTAAGTCTTTAAGCCATTTTGAGTTGATTTTTGTGTATATCGTGAGGTAAGGGCCCAGTTTCATTCTTCTGCATGTGGTTCAGCAGCTTTTTAAAAAAAATCCTATGTCAGGGGTACCTGGGTGGCTCAGTCGGTTGGGCGTCTGCCTTCGGCTCAGGTCATGATCGCAGGGTTCTGGGATCCAGCCCCACGTTGCCCTGCTCAGCGGGGAGTCTGCTTCTCCCTTTCTCTCTGCCCCTTCCTCTGCTGGTGGTTGTGTGTTCTCTCTCAAATAAAATCTTAAAAAAAACCCCCCAAAAACCTATGTCAGCTATGCAGGAGTTTCCACTGTCTTCCTGACAGAGGCTGCAAACTTAACACTGTAGAGATTGAAGCTCATGTGCAGGTGTCTGTCAGTCCATCCACAACAGCGAGCTCTGTCACAGTCACCATGCCATCAGAAGGATGCAGCTGAGGGGGCTGAGGAGACTTAAAAGCAGGTCAGAAGTGAATAGAGATTTCTAGGCTCCATATTCAACACTGTGCCTCCTGGGGCACGAGTCATGGAATATGTGCAGAGGTGGGTGTTCACATGTAGGTGACTTTGTTTCTGTATGTTCAGGTTTCCAGGTGTGGGTCAGTACCACATGCATGTGAGTGAGTACAGATGCGTGCACTGAGGACACCCCCATCCTGCTGAACACCCTAAGCAGATGCTGGGATGTGTGTGCCAGGGGAGGGTCAGGACTGTGTCCAGAAGGGCTGGCTGCCTTCCTCAGATCAGAAGGTTCAGCCTAGTCCCATCTGTCTGGTTGTGGGGTAAAAGTCTTCTTGCTGTATCTCTTCAGTTCTTCAGGGAACTAGGCTCAAGACTTGCTCCCTCAAGCTCTCAGAAGGATGGTGGGGGAACAGAAGGCATCAGAAGGCTCCCTGCCACCCCAAATCCTGGGGCTCTTCTGGTAAGACTGTGTGACATGCCCTCTGGCAGGGTGTGGCTCAGAAGTCCTGACTTTGGGCCCGGCGTTTTATCGTACCCCTGTGCTTCCAGAGCCATCGGACACCAAAGAAGAAGGGTCAGGAAGCAGTTCTGGGGATCCGCTCGTCAGCTCAGTGCTGCGGGCTGTGGGTCTACAGCGCTCTGCCTGCTGCTATTCCGGCCCTGGGGGTGTGTTTTAGGGCTTCATCCAAGGCCCGGTTCTGGGGTCAGACCTCCCCTGTAGCTGGCCAGCCTGGGGCAGAAGAACCTCTGAACCTCCGAACCTGGGCTGGGACCAAGAACTAAGATCTAAGAGGTGCCCTCTGCCCTGCCTGAAAAGAGAACAAAAAGACACTCCTCCTTTCAGCCCTCAACTCCAGAAAATATGCTTGGGCTAAGGATACCCTCAGGCCTGACTGCCCAGCCCAGCAGGGCTTGCTCAGAGCCTTGTGAGGCAGGAAGAGGCTGGAAAGAGGGGGAGGAATCAGGTAGACAGGTCCAGGCCTGGGTCACTGGCATCTGGACAAGGCACTAGACAGGGCAATGCTGAAGAAAGAAAGGGACACTTCTAGGCACGGACGTGAACTCCTGCAGCAGTGCCTGGACAATCACGAGGTGCAAGGCACACGTGAGATGCAGGAAACACAGAATGAACGTGATCCTGTGTCCTTTCTCACTCTTGTCAGGGCACATACATGCCCTGCCTGCCCCCTGGACCCAACAGTCTTGTATCCCAGGGCCTGGGACATTCCCGGACATGAATGAAATACTCAGTGGATATGTCACAGACGTGCAACACACACATCCACACATCACACTCAGAACCTTCTTGTGCATGCAGGTGTGGGCACATGCACTCACTTCTGTACCCAGAATACCAAAACGCTTCAGTGTTCTCCCCTGTGTCTACTGCTTTTTGGGCCAGATGGTTTGAGCTCCCTTCTGCTTGGAAATTGAGATGTGGTCTCTCTTTTTGAAGTCAATACAAACAAGAAAGTGTCACAATTTAGAACATGATACATGTGTCTAAAAAATACAAGTGAATGTGTGATTTTAGAGCAGGATAAATATTCTTTAGTATGGACTTTTGACATCTGTTGCTTCTACAATCTCTAAGTATGAAACTCACGTTGACCCTAGCAAACCTTCTTGCCATGCATGTGAGCCAGCAGTGAGTGCTAGAGGCTTCAGGGAATGCACAGTGGGATTTGCTGCTCTTGGAAGGCCAAGTGAACTAGCCTGTTATTGGAGAATCACCTTTTATAGCTCTTCAGTTTCTGATAAAGTGGGTCTATTTAATGCTGCCAAAAAATCATAATGGGTGCCTGCCTTTCCTGAGTACCTTATACACCTGTATAAGTGACCCTCCTATAGCTCCCTGTGGGACTCAGGTGCCACATCCACCCCACAAGAGGAGACTGAGGCCCTGAGGAGAGAATGGCTTGACACATGTCTCCAGCTAGCCAGTGGCAGGATGGGGGGGAAGACGCAGGGCTGTCAGCCTCCAAACCCAGGCCCTGTCCTTTATGCTATACTGCCCTGAAAGGGATCTAGAAGTGCAGGTGGGTGTCATAAAGGCGAGCAGCCTGGTGGACCCTGACCAAGTCAGGAGCCCAGCTTCCAACTGGCATGAGCTTGCTGTATCCCTGGAGAGGGGTCCTCAGTCTGGCTGGCCTCCTCCGGGATGTGACACGTCCTTCCCCGCAGAGGCACATCCAGGAAAGACAAGTACCCTGGAAAGCACTGAGTTCTCTAAACATAAGAAACAACGTTACCACCCTGTCTACTCA